CCAAGTATTTGTTTTATTGTAGTGAAAGAAAATTTACTTACTGCTTCCTATATTATCCTTGGTAACTAACATTTGCACAAATAAAAGTGTACACAACTTTTTATTCTTTTAACATTGTTACCAATAAAAAGTTTCTTGGGTTTATTTTTGTTATGCAATTAGGTACTTATTGGATAATCCTTTTCCTTTAAACTTGGTTTCTATATGAAGTCTATAAATCATTTTCCAATTGTTGAATCAAAACTTTATTTAGCTTAGATTAAAACAAAAAGGGAAGATACGGCACTCGCGGCTTAAAAGTGATCCGCATATTATGGTGCTTGATGACTATAATTCGCTGTAGCAGTGTTGCCAACTCGGATTTTGAAAAAGGCGTAGGACCGATGAGAAAATTACGTAGAATTGGTAAATTTTGCATATGAAAAGTAGATCTACGTACTTTTTTCTGAGTGAAATGAAGAAGTTATTTGAAACCGAATAAAACGAGTATTTTGTTATACAATTTGTTTAAGAACGGGAGATTGAACAAAGAGTTCTTGGAGAAGTCGCTGCATTGGAAGCATTTACCATGCTGTGGTAAAAATTTACCATCAGACACAGACACTGATGGGTGCTGATTCTGGATGGTTCTCTAAATTTAAAACTTAATTTAACATCAGTCTCTCCTTTTCATTCTGTATAGAGAATGACAAGGATAAACTGTTGTTAAATGGGCTAGTTGACACTTTTTGGAATTATGTTTTAAATTGTTAATAATTATTCTATCAGAACGAAAAAAAAATTTTTTTTTACCTAGAAGACATACAAAAACGCTCTTTAGTCTATAGACTTATCTATGCTATGGCGCCAAAACATTTGTAAACAAACACTCGCAAGCACGTAGGAAATAAACTTTCTAAGTTAATATTATAAAACCATGATTTCTAATAGATCACATGAAAAATATAGTAGTTATCATGATATACACTTGGTAAAAGACTCTAGAAAAGTTATGGTTGAAATTGCCAAGAGAAAAAACATACTTACACATGAACATATGCTTAAAACTTGCTAAATCCTGTAACTTTATCGACTGAAAGTCTTTTCTTTTTGCAAAGATCAATTCGATGTGAGTAGGTACTCATTGATAATAGTAAAAGTTTAAAAATACAATTTTTAAGGTTATGAATGTACCTAATAAGTCAAAGGGTTTTGTCGTTTATGCTTTCACAAATCCTGCGTCCAGCATTAATTTAGTCAACAAAACCAATAACGGGAACCTTTTCTACAAGATGCAAGAGTGTTTAGATACATATTCTTAAATATTCAATATAAAATATTCTTCTTTATTCTAGTGAATTAAGTTATTTTACAAATTTGAAAAAAATTAAGAAAATACGTAGATTCTGGGACTTAAGTTCGTAGGTTTCCAGAAAAGGTCTAAAATACGTAGATCTACGCAAAAAGACGTAGAGTTGGCAAACTGTAGTGACAATTGGACGCTGCATGTGCACTCAATATATCAATATTGCGTATAGATAGTCTCTGTTATTAATATAAAACAATGCCTTCGATGCTTTTCTAAAGAACACAAGCAGTTCAAAATCAAATAACAAATGCCTCGGCAATACTTTTCATTCGTAAAACTATATCTTTTTCTCAAAAATCACGGTTTGTCGTAAATGTTTTTAACGTAATCGCCATTTTGTATTAAGAAAAGAACAGCAATACGCTGCCGCGTTGCAGCAGCGTATAGTTCTGCTTCGCTCGCTCGATTGAATGTTTATAAACAGATTTCTGCGTGTGTGAGAATTGCTTATGTAGTTGAGTAGGATCATATTTTGTTTGATGCTAGAATGAACGTGCCGTATCTACTTGTTTAGTCATTTAGTCATCTTAAAATGAAATTATTCAAGGTTACACAGAAACGGGCTTGTCGGCGGCATCTGACCAAATCTACATCATGCATGGGCTTTCTTTAGTAAAAAGCAGGTAATTGGCGACCTCAGTGGCCGAGTGGTTTGTACGCCAGGTTTCATGGTGTCGCCGACTCGAGAGGTCCCGGGTTCGAATCCCGGTGAAGGCAGATGTTTGTGTGATGAAAACGAGATTTGCACTTTAATCATGGATGTTTAATATGTATTTCTATATAAATATACTTATATAAGTACAGTATATGTATTCTATCCGTTACCCTAGTATTCCATAACACAAGCCTTACAGTGCTTACTTTGGGGCTAGACTGATTGGTGTGAGTGTTGGAAATATTTATTTATTTAATGGAGAGTGAGTCATCTGAAATACTAGATAGACATAATTTTAAAGAATTATTACTTAAATAAACAAAAGCAACGTTGTTTTATGATGATAATAGTCTACAAAAATACTCACTTCGCACAATCACTTCTATTACCGCAGCTAATGAGTAACTTTTATTTTGACAGTTACTTTCGAGTGCGGTTTTTAATGTGAGGTGTAAATAAGCGCTGAAATTCGTTACAGAATGCCATTGAAACGTCAAAGCCATTTAGGTATGATATGGTCTCACCTGTGATAGTTTACTAAACCGCCACTCTCACTTAGTAGCGCTAGCGTCGATTCTCACTCGATTACAGAGATGTGCATAGAGTAAGCCCTCATTCGGCCAAGTTACCAAACTTTGAAAATAAGACTATTTTAACTTTACATTCATTAAAACTTTAGACTTGAGCCTCATATCTACAAATATATCTAAAGAATAAATTTACGTGCTTTTTTTCACGCATAATAACTAAGTCGATATATCTCGATTTACCAAAAACTTTTAAAATGGTAACACTACAAATTACTTAGGATATAAATGACATCTCGCTTCACTTGCTTGTACAATTGGTTACAGAATGCGAAAATTCCGTGAAGCGAAACCTAGAGAGCGAAAGCAAAACGGATCCGACACACACAGTGAGATGAGTTTATGGGTTTTATTGCACATTTAATTGCACTACTATGTATGTACGTGCAACCCGTCGTTTTTTTATTTGATCTGTTTGCGGTATATTTTTTACAGCCCGTGACTTTTTCATAAGATATTCGTCATTGATTTCACCAAAGAGTGGTGAAATTTTACTAAAAATATCCACATTCCTAATTCGTATTACTTTTAGTTCCCCGGAATTAAAACGCTATTTTGGTCCCTGTATACAGAGAACGAACTAGCTCTTTTCGAATAGATGTGATAAAAATAAAATTATAGATCTAAAGAAAATTTTACTTGGAAAAATTGGACGTGGTCCGGCTAACAGACGATTATATCAAAAATAGTCATTTTCAATATTACAGCAATAATATTCTCATCAAAAGTTTAAGTTATCCATGGGATTAAACTTTTGCGATTTGGGGTCAAATGGAAAGTACTTCCTCTGATGTAGGTTTCTGTTATCGGGGACCGCAGTCCATCGCCACCAACTACCTACATAAGCCTCTAGACACGGTAATATTATATTATTACCGTGTCTAGAGGCTCTAGATGTGAGGACCTGTAATTGGTTCTTTGCTACTGTTAATAATTTCTAGTTTTTTATGAATAGCTGTTTGTCTTTTGTGTAACCATAATAAATAAATAAAAAAAAAAAATGGTTGCCTGTAAAGTCGGTTTTACGGGCGAAGATTTTACGTGACAACGTCTTTTTCTCGGTAGAATATTTATTGATATGAATATAATTAAATTGCACAATAGGAACAAGGAATTGAATGAAAATAAGAATTGCACAAATTTTAACTATAGAAATATATTTTGTTTACTAAAACATTGTACATGTAAACTTAAACTTAACACGAGAGACTCATCGTAACGTTACCGAGCGTTACACTTTTTCATAAGTGACTCCCAGCCGCAACCTAATTTAAGACGTTGTCACGTCAAAAAAACAGAAACAGTTTTCTGCATTCCATGGATTCAATGTTAAGGTTTGTAAATGTCCACGCCGGATGATCCGTTTAGGAGCGCCGATTCCGCGATCTGCGATCCAAGATCGTGGAGCATGGACCGTGGACCACACTTGTTCGATCCGAGTTGCAATTTCTTGCGATACTGACCGTTTATCTCGCTATGGAGTCACACGTGCATCGACGGCAAAAACTTGCAACCTATATTTTACTACAATATTTACGAATAATAATAATAACCTTCACAAAGGGAAATTAAACGCAAACATTGCGGACTATTGTCATGTCATTGTCTGTATTAGAGATCGTCACGCGCCAAAAACCACCTACACCACACTCGCCTGGTGACTGTGGCCCCTTTGATGGAAAATGCGCAAAAAATCGATAAAAAACGGATTGTAAACAGCGGGGAACGCGCGTTCCATTTTGACAGCTTAAATCGCGCGAGGCACGTCTAAGCGACCGTTTCTGTAGAGCGCGCTCTTGTCGCATGTCATCGGAGCGCGGTGCGGGAATCATCTGGTGTGGATCCGGCTGGACGCTTCACATACATCGCCGTATCTCGATGGCATGTCTACGTTTGTAATTCTCGTCAAGTTTAGTATAATATCTTTTAGCGTGTATTCACTTGCAGTGAATTTCTTAAATCTAAATTAACTAACTATTAGATTTATCCCATAGAAAAATGTCATAACATCAATGTCAATTTGACACTATTGTTTGGGCTATAAGTAGTGTTAGTTAAATTGAGATTTAGCAAAATTGCTGCAAGTTGACCTTAGTCACTAGAGGTTTTACACAAATACGCTTTATTTTGCAAAAAGAGGGTAGGTATACCAATATTCCTAGGATTAGGTATTTCGCTGTGGCGCATAAAGAAAGAAGTGGCGTCAATAAAATCAGATATTAAGTTTTCAGAGGCGGTTTTACGGTGGTGCAGGGTGTGCGTTGCACACGGGCGCAGATATCTCAGGGGGCGATGAGCGTCACTCGTGACCGTTACATTTTGACCGCGCGATTACTAAAGTTCGCTAGGTAAAAGAATGCACACGAGCGCTACAAGGACTGGAGACGCCTCTGTAAGTTTTTTTACCTACCTGTGGGAAGTATTTGTAGCAAAGTCCTTTTGCGAGATGTTTTCTGAGTCGGAAGCGGCTGCGGATTCAGTGGCTAGTTTCTGCGCTTCCTCATCGGACGGTTCTCTGGTTCTGTCGACGAAGCGTACGGAGCGGGGCGTCACCGAGCCGTCCTCGTCGCTCGCTGTTGTCGTCGACCTTTGGTCCTCGTTTTGCTAAAAAGTAAACGAAACACATTCAACATTTATTTATTTTGTACACACACAATAAAATATGAGAAAAAAAGAGAAACAAGAGACATGTACAATGTTTATATTTATTTAGAGTCATTTACATTAATATTCTTAATATAAATTTGGGCTTTCCATATTTGTCTTTTTTCAAAGAATTATTTAAACACGTTATTAGATTTTAACTTTGATAGAAGGGAAATTGAAACTGGCCGTTAAGCCAGTTTCACTAATCAACCTAGAGTAAAAGGTAAGGATAATCTGGTTCTGTTTCTAAGCAACGGTTGTTATAGTGTTATGGCTCAAGCCGTCTCCCGGCGTAGTTTTGCGAACTGATGGCGTAGATTCTCGACTTTCACAAGTACTATTAACAGCCTAGACGGATTAAATTATTTTTGATTTTGATTTTAAGTATCAAATTGTTACTAACAACTTGGGTCTATGTTTTTTTTTTTTATGTTATAGGGGGCATACGAGCAGACGGCTCACCTGATGGTAAGTGATCACCGTCGCCCATGGACACTTAAATATGTCTATGTCATCTTAAATAAATAAACTTATTATTATTATAAAACTTCTGAGCAGATCATGCAGATAATATGTGGCAAAAAAGCGAATCTATCGGAATCAGAAGGACACGAATTCTCAAAGAAGTTAACAATGTTAATTTACGAGCCACTTTCAGGAATATACCACCAAGTTCGGTACATCTTTTTGGTAGAAAAGCATTGTAGCCAGTTGTTAAATACTCCAAAATAGTTGGTGAATCAAGGTGAAAAGCATAAAACTGGATATATTGGTAAGTGTACTAAAAATATCTATATAAAATGTGCAGAATCTACTGATGTTTCTTCAAACAACGATTTGTGTTTTCTAACACACATAATAACTGTTTTGTTGGAATGGAAAACGTATTATTATGAGTTTATCGACAAGTCTCTTGCTCAATTCTTATTTTGTAATTAATTAGGAAATTTTGTTAACTTATATTCTCATTCATTCCATAAATTAATTACTGAATCTAATGCAATATAATTAATTTTATATTCCATAACGAAACTTTTTTGTCTTTGAACTCTACAATAAATACGTTAAGGATAAATATTAAATGTTTGCATCTGTATTCGTTACGAGGTCCTCTCATAAGGGCGTTTTTAGATAGACCGATTATGTCTGTCTAAAACTATGATGAGGTCGTAAGGTGAGATGGCCTGGTTATCATCATCATCATTAGCCTATTAATGTCCCCACTGCTGGAGCACAGGCCTTCCCTATGGATGGAATAGGGAGATTTGGGCCATGACCCACCACGCGGGCCCAGTGCGGATTGGTGGGTGCTAACGACTGCAGATGCAGCCGGGACCAACGGCTTAAAGTGCCTTCCGAAGCACGGAGGAGCTCGAGATAGTAATTTTTGGTCACCCATCCAATGACCGACCACTGCGAAAGTTGCTTAAGTTCACGAACGCGCTAACCACTTGCGCCATCGAGCTCCTCGCGCATGATGCGCATTTACAGGTAAAATATATATTTTACTTATTTTACCAATGTATAACTGGTAATTTACCGGATAATTAACCAAAATAGTTCTTTTAGCCACGTAGTGACGTAGAGACCATCGAGCTCTTCACCTGGTTATATCGATGAAAAAACGAGACAACATAATTTTAAATAAAAATATCAAAAACATCGTTCGAAATGCGTCTCCTAGGGACTCGGGTTCATTAAACGAACATTTCAAAGTTATTAAAGTTTCTGAAAACTTCTTAATAGGTTCTTATTATTTATTTTTTACATTTAATTACAAATGTGTTTGATAACCCAATTTTTTCTAATAGATTCAGCGCAGACAATCAAATGTGTTTCATATTTCATAAATAAAAGGTTTTAAAATGAGAACTATATTATTTATTTGAAGTGGAACTTAATATAACCAAGGGCAGTACTTCTTTTCGCCAATAGCACCCTTATCGCCAATAGCACACTTTAAACTTCTTAGAGGATTCACTGAAATCTATATAACTTATCGAAGCGTATTTTTTCGGCTACTATTATGTTTCCATGGGCTTTCTACAAATCGACAGTGGAAAGGCAAAATTGCTTATACGGCACTTCGGTCGAAAATGAGTTATTTATTTCATTTAATCAGTTTCTTTCTACTTCGATCTTACGTTAGTTTACGTTTCGTGATGATTTGAGTATTTATTTGGCGCTTAAGCAACAATTTTTTTTTAAGATTTTTATTGTTCACAACGCTGAAGCGACAAAATATTTGGTTTTTTTGAACCATTGACGCTTACTATTTGCCGCATGATTTGATGTTTGCTTGATAAAAAATGTATGGGGGGCCGAGTGATTTTCGCTTAAGCGACATCTTATTCGTAAAAGTAAAGGCACTATGGAATTTTTTAATATGAGGATATATTGAAACTATTATTTAATAAAAATGTTTTTCTTTTTATGTCGCTACTTCTCATTTACAATGTAACCTCGTTTCTGTAAAGTTACTGAAGTGACGTTTAAGCGATTTTGCTTTTCCACTGTCGATTATGAACTAGTAAGTCTGTATAAATAATGTTACGTAGCTAGCTGAGACGTGGACTTTTAGGCGCTTTGCAGACGACGGGGCGGGGCGGGCCGGGCAATTTCGCCGCGAATAATAGCACAAAGTGAATCGTATACTTCAAACGCACACAGAGGGCAAAAAGACCGCGCCGCAGGTGCCCGGCGGGCAGTGGCGGCGCGGCATGTCCGCGGCTGCCCGCCGTGGATCATACAAACCAGTTTATATGCAGTAACGCAGACGGCGGCGCGGGGCGGTGAGCTCAGTCCGCGCCACGCGCTTTTTAGTGATGGACTATTCACAAGAACGAACGTTCTGAACTGACCGCCTCTGCCCGTCGTGTGCTTTGTGTACGCGGCGCGGGCAGCTGCAGACATTGACGGGCAGACGCGGTCTTTATTTCTTCGCGGACAAAAAGCCAATGGTCAATTTCGTCGCGAATAATAGCACAAAGTGAATCCTATACTTCAAACGCACACAGAGGGCAAAAAGACCGCGCTGCAGATGCCTGGCGAGCACTGGCGACGCGGCATGTCCGCGGCTGCCCGCCGTGGATCATACAAGCCAGTTTAAATGCAGTAACGCAGACGGCGGCGCGGGGTGGTCAGCTCAGTCCGCGCCACGCGCTTATTAGTGATGGACTAGTCACTAGAACGAACGTCCTAAACTGACTGCCTCTGCCCGTCGTGTGCTTTGTGTACGCGGCGCGGGCAGCCGCAGACATCGACGGGCAGACGCGGTCTTTATTGCTTCGCGGACAAAATTCCCGCCCCGCCCCGTCGTCTGCTCAACGCCTTAGAATAGAATCTAATATATAAAACTTAAAAGCTGATCATGCTTAAATTCTTTTAATTCTATTTGACTTTAAAAAACAACTCTAATTGCAACTAGTGATTGCAAGTAGTCCCAGAGAACCCAAATTCACGTTCCGCCACTATTTAATCCAATCAGCTCAACTATTTCTACTATTTCCTATTTATCAGTGAAGAATTGTAACCTGCTCGTTGTCTTTTTCCGTGTCCAGGGACTTCCATAGCCTGCCCCCTTTTAGGATCCCACCACGCCTCTGTCGCAGCGGGGAACTTTCCGACGACATCCGTCCATCAGTCTCTGCTGTGTCGCTTTCTTCACCTAATAAAATACAAAAGAACAAAATTATGTCAAAGCAAAAAGTTTGTTTTCATACTTAGTGGAGTGGAAAGATGATCCAAATTATTCCTTCACGGATTTGTCCTTCTAAACACATGACTTTAGAAATGAAAAAAGGGATTTAAAGTTATTGTGCTTTTATGATATTACAATTTTATAAAGTACCTAGTCAGGTCATAAATTCTGTCACATGTTTAATATAAAATGATTGAAACAAATTTATTCATTATGTAACCATAATGAACTCAACAAAATATAGATTCTTATGACAATAAAGTTTATTCAAAATGACCTCCGTGATTTTGAATATAGGCCTTCAATCTGCGCGGCCAGTCGTCTATAGCAGCACGAACGAGGTCCATGTCAATATCGGCGTCTGCCTTAATCAAGGATGTCTTGAGTGACTCCAAATTGGGATGAGGCTTTGAGCATGCCTTTTCTTCCAAGTGTTGCCATATCTTGTAATCTAACGGACTGAAATCTGGACTGGAGGAGGGCCAGTCTTCGTGCCGAATGAAGTCGACTTCACGCGCCGCCAGCCAGTCTTGTGTGCTCTTCGCTCTATGAGCTGGCGCCGAATTGTTATTGAACAAGGTATGAGAAACAGGTTCCACAAGGTTCGTCAGGACTGTATTTTGATACACAACTATATTCGTTTTTACACCTTTCTCACAAAAATGTACCTCTGTTAAGACCCAATAAGAAACTCCCAACCATACCACCCAACTAACATTAGGCGATAACATAAGAGTTACAACAGATATAGAAAAGAGTTAAACAGATCCTAAGGTCATCAATATGTGCTATTACATGGGAGTTATAGCGAGCTATAACTATACTATACCCCTGGAATGGGCACAAGTTCTTATAGTCTTAAGTTCCACTTTGGCGATACAGTAGAATAAGATAATGAATTTAAGAGATATGGTAGAGCAATTGTGTATATACAGTAGCGCTAACTGAGACTTAAGGCGCTGTAAGAGTAGTATTTAAGTGACCAGTGACTCGTCAAGCGATATGGTAGAGCTATATGCTGCTTACTGACGCTTTGAGCGCTATTAAAGGAGCAAATGAATGAATATAAACTCCGTCAGAGTTAAAGTAGATCTATGATGTATCTTACTTACTGTTTGAGCGGTTGGAGGGTGGTACTAAGGTAAATCGTAACGCCTTGACTTGCAGTATAGATCTACATTAGGAAATTTTAGCGTCTAAGAATATAATTTGTTACTTTTTTCATAGACGGCTGCGATGTGATTTTTTTAACGTTGTTAAATGTCAAGATGAGGAAATCATTATGTGTTTACGTAAATAAATGGCGGAGTTGAGAGCTAAAATTTTAACTCATTGTTAGTGGAAGCTAAAGCGGAATTTTCATTGCGAAGGTAAGTAAACTGTGAATATGTATATATATTATTAGCAAATAATTGAAGCGCCCTAATTATTTAATTATCTATTTTTTTTTTGCTTCACATGGAGCAAAATATTTGATTACTAAATATGTAACAAAACTTTGCCTATTGACTTAAAAGTGTCGTAACTCTGGTATTAGAACTCTAGAAAAATTAATACCTTCATTGTATTATGTTTTCGTTTCGTACGTTTAACTGTTTTCAATTATTTTTTTAATCTAAAAACGGTGGGTGCATAAATTTGGGGATCCGTGGTCATTTCCCAAAACCACTACCGCACTGCTTATGCATGACTAGTACACATATATTTGATTATATAAAAGTAATAAAAAATCTTTAAAAGTATAGAATTACTTGGAAATAAATACAGTGACTTATGTTAATGTATCACTTATATACAACATTTTTGGCGCTATGATAAAAATTTAGAGTTCCTCTTGAGATGAAGTCAAATAGTACAATACAACATATTATACGCTTTTGAATTATTATTAGCTAATTTATTTTTACAGTTCTGAAAGTAAATATGGTGGCATTCGCGGTAACTGCTAAAAATAGTGCTGAAAATCAATCCAGCAAGATACCTGGAATCAGAAGTGATTCCATAGAACTAGCCCCAAGTGACGATTCATTTGAAGTAGAAGAAGAGTCCCTGTGCTATTTTTTAATTTATTTATATTTTCTAGGGTTATTTTTATTGCTAAACTCGTTCATTATTAGCAATATAACCAATATAATTTTTCATTTTTTTTGAATCGTTAACTTGGTGGGTACCTAGCCTATCCATTAAGTTATATATTTTTGTTACCAAGATATAAAAAAATATGTAATTGTTTACTTTAAGCTAGTTGTTGCTATAACCCTAATAATCCCCTTATTAATAAGCGTGGACTAAAATTAGTCATAGTTTAAAACTGATGCTGTCCCTTTCATTTGCTCAATGTAAGAGAGAGTTAGCATCAGTTTTAAATCACGATTAACTTTAGTCCATGATTATTAATAAGGCGGTAAATGTTTAGTAGTTCTTTGTGTTCTAATCTAAATGTAAACAAACGCCTTTGAATAGAAAAACTAATTTCTTAAATAAATACTAGCTATATAGAATCATAACTACCAAATAGCACCTATTATAGGTAAGTACTAATATCTTTTCTTATTTTCTATTAAAAGATGTATTGTTTACAAGTAGTTAAGAACCTAAATATATGTTATACATAAGCTTTCACTGCTAAGTAACTTACATGTTCCTATTTATAACAAATAAAAGGATCTATTTTTAATAAAACATTAGGTTTACTTTTTTTTTTCTAAAATTATCAATAAGGATGTTATTTTATATATTATTAATCACACTAATTGAAGAACCCAATCATGATCCAAATGCTCTTTTTCTTAAGCTAATTAAAACAATGAGTATATTATTTTAGTACTTGACCATCATATATTAAATGTTCTTGTTGTAGAAGCTAAAAGTACTATAATTATAATGGAAAACTTTAATTACAAGAACCAAGAACTAACTATATGAATAAATACGTTATGTTACATGTCACTATTCCAGTAAAAAGTACCTGATTCGCATTTAATTATTGTTGTATAATAATGTTAACAATTTCTGTTCTCAATTTTTATTTTAATATTGTTAGTTATAGAATAACAAGATGATTGTGCATGAGAAATAAAAACAAATTGACATACATTACTTGCGTTTAATTTAAAATGTTACACAGTGTGAAGTAAAGGAAAGAAGTAAAGAAAAGTTTCATGCTCAATACACACTAGTTTAAACTGGACATCTCCTGATGATATCGTAATTTCTTCTCAATTTTTATCTTCATTTGCAACTACAAACATATTCAATTATGTCAAGTATTATGATCATCCTCATCATCACTACTCAATGAGTAATAACATCGGTCATCGAAATATCAAAACTTGCAGCTGCGATATTATTTCCATTATACTTACGAAACCCTCATCTTCAAGCAAGACTCCCGCTTTTATGCTTACATGACGCACACTTGACCAATTAGAGGTACTAAAGTGGTAACGAACTCAATAAATATGGAGGCTATATTTGACACTACAAGTTCTATTAATAGGGAGAAGTATCCCTACTATTCAGCCCCAAATTATACAAGGGAGTTTTGTATCCCTTTATGAGTTTTTTGATGTAAAAGATTTAATGAACACCATTGTAGAGCTAGTAGCGCTGATTGCTCCTTTTTTGCAACTATCAGCGATCCGAAAGAGTTTGTGGTAGCTTGCTTAGAACTTTAGAAGTTAATAGTAAATGTTAATTTCTTATATGGATCATATAGTCGTAAGATTCGCTCAAAGCTATAACACAGAAGCCTTGGTCTTTATCTTTATTGCTCTTGTAAACTTACTCTGTCACTATAACAGCAGCAGCATGAGCGAGGATGGAAGATGACCTCGTTGGACACGAGGAATACGGTTGCTCGCTTCTTCACTACTGTGTGCGTGCACCTTATCATTTTGTTTGATGTAGCTCTCTTCTACGTTAAAAATTTTGTCATCCGAAAAAAGATTTTCCCGATATTTTTTTCCCGCGTACCGTTTCAACAAAGCGCGGCATCTCTTCAGTCTCAGGTCCATTAGACGAGCATTCAAACGATGTTCTGTTTTTCTTCGATATGCCCGAAGCCCTAAGTCTTCATTTAACACCCTTTTCACCGTGGTTCTGCTTAACCCCATCTGAAGGGCCAACAGTTTCTGCGTACGTTTGGGATTTCTTTGAATTCGCGTCTTCACAGCTTTTATCAGTGCTGGAGTCCTAACAGACCGAAGGCGACCACTTCTTGACCTGTCATCTACACTAGAGTCTTCATTGTATCGTTTGATGGTACGATAAATGAATCTTTTGGTCATATTCAAATTTTTCAGTATCTCAAAAATTTTAATTGGCGCGTAACCGCAACGATGCAACGCAATAACTGCAACACGGTCTTCTTTAAGTGTCCACTCCATATTTAAAAATGAGTACAATTCTAATAATTATATACATTTTTATTTTCATGAACAATTCGAAATTCGAATTCAATAAACGTTTTTGTGGCCAGCATTCTGAAAGAAAAGTTATTATTGTGTGACAATACTTATGACCTAACTGTGTACCGTAAGAACTTACTTAAGAGGTCGGACTCAGTCACCCTCAGTAATAGAAATAATTTCATTGTAAGAGTATAACTTAATTATTTCAAAAGTGAACTGAATAAGGAAAAGAAAATTAAGAAGTGTTTTATAATAATTTCTGAAAAAGTTTTGCGGTAAAAAGTTAGGTATGATAAAAAAGTTGATCATGCTGCAGATAATTAGTAATTCTTTTTGTATCCATAATTATCATTATTATTATAGGACGGGGGAAAAGTACGCACTTTAAAGGTGACATTTTTGAAAAAGCAGTAATAAAGTAGAAAATCATGTCCCGCAATTATTCAGTAAGCACCTACACTAAAATTACTGACCTCAATATTGAAATAAGAATCAAATATACATCTTCTAGTTCTAATACTAAAAAAACGAAAAATGCGTCACAAGCCGCTATAA